TTTGCTTTGCTACTAGACATGCCCCTTAAATTGTATCTTTGGCATCAGTCATCATCTGCCACAAGAATCTTTAATCATTGAGTGCGACAAATGTGGGCTACATTTCCAAGTATTTGAGTCATGAGGTCTCTGAGTCATCAATATGATGTTCATAAGAGTAAGGCAGCAGCTAATAAAAAGCACATCATTAACAAATATTTTTACCAACATGGTCAGAAATTAAAATATTCAACAACACACACATTTAAAGTGGTATTTCCCTGAATTCCGACAGAACTGGTTTTCATTTATTTACAAAATACCTATAGTGTCGCAAAAATGAAACTACCGATGTGTTGTTAAGATCAAAAAGAAATACGAGTTCCAAAATGGGTTTGGTCCTATTTGGGAAGTAGTGAGATAAGAATCAGGAAACAGGACACTCCCCCCCCCCACACACACACACACACACACACATTTTAAGTCCCTGGCTCTATAGGGCGTCACGACTGGTGCGATCCCAGTTGTTTTATCTTTTTGAAGATTTCTTGTTTTCTGGTTATTTGTAAACCACCATCTCTTACTATAATTTGTCAACATGTGCAATCTAGTTATAGGTTAGAACTACAAAACAATTATGAACAGTAAATTATTACGACACACATTGTCAGTCATGCCCAAATGTGTCTCTAGAGCAATGATTGTATGCTACAGCCAGTAAGCTCAGGAGTTGTGTTGATCAGTAACAGCTGTGTGAAAAAAGTCCTAGTTATTTGCTCCCTTGTTGTACAAACAAGCTCCTGAATGCTTCCACAGGCACATTAGCGTGTCACAGCAGACCAATATCCTTTTGAGTGACACCCCATCATGACATAGGGTTTCTATAGAGAGAAGTTCAGCTGGGCCAACCAGGGCATTGCATATCAAACCCCTCTGAGACTGACAGGTCTGTTGTTTCTTCCAGAGGTCATGGGTGGCTTTGGGCATCTATTAGGTATTTCCTGTTCAACAACCTGACCTGCTGTAACCCCATCGTGTGATTGTTCTCCCTCCCCCACATACCGACGGCTGTTATAAAAAAGCTGATCATGTTAGTAAAGCTGCATGTGATCCTAAAGGCAATATGTTCCTTGATGCAAGTGCAGTCGCTAAAGTTAGCAATCATATTTCTGTGGTTGCACTCACAGCATCATGATCAATTATTTATAGAGAAAGTTCCCCGTAATTGATGTAGGTTGTATAATGGTCTTGTAAGACTTAAAGCTGACAGACTTTCCGTGATTGATCACCACCACATTCACGCTGATCATTCAAATGTGTGTGTGTGTGTTTGTCCAAGCCTCTCCTCTTTGTCTGTCATTAAAACGGAATGCATTGTGGCTACTTGGAAAAAAGCCCTAACTGCTGCTTGATTGTAAATCAATAATCTGTTTTTCCCTTTATAGCTCTCCATCTTATACGGAGGCAAGCACACTCTTTGATTTATATTCTTGAAGAGAATGCACTCTCAAAAGACACATTTGGTAGTGTGGTCATTCTTTAACCATTTCAAATGTTACATTTAAGGCTGTGATGCATTACGTCACTTCCCCTCATACAGGAGCTCTGTGGCTTTATGTGATGATCTGATCAGGATGCCTGCCTGGGAGAATATAAATAGAGTTTTATCTCGCCTGATTCAGTCTTCCTGTTTGGAACGTGGACTACTACCCCAGGCTAAAGAGCTGTCTGGCTCAGTCTGGCCGCACTGCAGCACTTTCTCAGGGTCAAATGTGTGTCCTCACAACCTCAGACACACAGGTGGGCAGAGTACATGGGGAGAAACAATACGAGCAGATGCTAACTTGGAGAAAATAAATCCTGGCACATGTCTCCTTTACTGATCAGTGAGACCACAAGACAGCATTACACCATGACCAGATTTTACAATTGATGTACTTATAAGGAAACCGAAATCATGGTTAAAAACGAATACTGCTACATATCCATAGTTTAACTGTAGCTATTTTATCACTATCAGTGATCAATACATAATGTAATGCCTGCAACCATCCATTACTTTCCTATCCACTTCATATTTCAAATGCTTTCAATATATAAAATGTTAGACATTGCTTTAAATGCCCGTGACAATTACAAAAAAGCTATGTTAATGTCAACAACCATGCTATCTTTTCCAACGAAAAGTCCAAACCCAAGAATATTACATTTTCTATCAAGTGAGACGAATATAAAGCAGCAAATTCTCCCGTTGGAGAAGTTGTGATAATATTTGATGTTCTTACATCTCTTTGTTGGTGTGTTCGGTAAGAAGCCTAAAAACGAGGCAGGCTCTTGGGATCTAGAGAATGGAATAAAGAGAGGCAGTGCTAAGAATATACTGGAGGAGCTTCTCACGCTCCTGCCCTCATCATGAGGGGCTGAAAGATCAAGGGGATATCCCCCAAACCTGCCTACTGTACCCATTTCTACTGAGAACTAACAAATCCAGAGTGCTGTTACTCCTATTTTATTTTCAACTTTTAAAGCATCCCCGCATGTCAAACGCTAAAGTCAAATGATCCTCGACACTTTCAACATTAATAATAAAGATGCAACTAAAAGTCAGGCATTGATATCCAGGTGTCTAGAGCTCTTCTGATGTATAACTCGAGCAAGCTTTTGCATGATTTACAATTAACCTTGCTGCAGACAAACTGTCAGGGACGTTCTTAACAGATCAGACATTTCAATGTGAATGACATCAAAGGAACATTTTACAGTTCTCAGCCTCAGGGCAGGTTTTCATCTTTTCTGCTTGTCTATATCTGAAGTGTTTGACTTCAGAACTATTTCCCTTTGACACCTCAATTCTCCAATTGTAATATTCAACAAGAATGACTTTTAGAAGAGAGAAGCATGGTGCTGTGTGCCGTTAAGTCTTTTTATAATTCAGATCAATGTTTCCACACGGGCCCCAATTGAATCAGCTCACAGATTGTAGATTAGATGTTGTTCTCAGCGGTCTGCTACAGTAAGTATTGGCTCCAAAAACAAAAAAGGAATCGGATGTAATTTCCTCATTGTTCTTTGAGGAAAAGAAAACCTTAATTTTTTTTAACGCGCATGAAAGAGTGAAAATGTAGAAGGGAAATATCAGTTCCTGGCTTGTACACCACAAGATAAGCGTTTGGAAGCCACAACATTAAAACTAATGATTTGTTGACTTTGTTTTTGGCAAAAGTGAATGGAAATCCGACTAAACTAGAATGATACTCGAAGAGAGAAGGCCCCTGAGAAAGTAAATGCTGCATTCAAGTGCTCCTTGGATATTCCCATTTCCTAAATTGGGAGTTGTTCTTCCTTGTTTGGGTGTTGGTGAGCTTTTTTGTGATGTGAAAATAACATGCACATAATGAAGAAGATGTGTGGGAATATTAGTGAAAGTGCTTGATGTGAATTCATGTAAATGTTTCCTATTATTCTGACACTACATGAGGGCAGCACAAATCCACACCTCTCAATGTTAACAAAAGTGAAACATAATCCATCCATATGCTCTTTGATTTGGATTTTCTCCAGGTTTTTTTTTTACTTTGCCCATGCTACACCAATCCACCAAGTTACCCCAGCTAAATGTGCTCCTTCTTACATTATTTCACCTGCCTTTGCTCTTACATGTATATTTAGCTTACCTCTTTCATAATAAGCATCCTACGGAAGAGGATTAGGGCTACATGATTTTTGTTTTTTGGGAGAATTTGAAAAAAAAACGTTTTTTTTTGTTCTGAGAAAAAAGTCAGAATTCAGAATTCTCTTCCGTAGCATCCTTTTCTTCCCTTTAATCTATATTTTTACCTTCCATTATTCTTTCCAGTCATCTGTCATATAGCAGAGCTAGACGGCAAAATGTTAAGTCCCACCCTGACTTTGTTGTGGCATGCCTGCCTGACCAGAAATTCAATAAGTACTGCAAGTGGAAAGCCGTCAGGTTGTAGACACGTTCTTCACCGTCAAAGGCCACTGCTTCAATTTTTGGACTAGCTTAGATCGTGTGGAAGAAAGTTCCACAAGAAAGCAGACTGTGTGGCTGTCTGGTGCAGAGCCTGTCACATCACACAGTGGCCGTGGTCTGTGGTTTACTGTGAGCTCATTGGATAGATTCTGGTCTCGTCTGCAACCTGTCAACCTGCATTTTCCACATATACTCATTCAGGAACACAGCATACTGCTATGCCCGTTATGGGTCACCTAATGTAGGAAACACACTGTGATTTACTCATCTTAAAGAAGTTGCCTGTGACTATAATTATCAGGCAGTCAGACTATTTGATGCTGTGACAGTTATTTTCATATGTGTTAGAAATAGCTTCATTGGCATGCTTGTCAGGTGCTGTGGCATGGTCTATAATTTTCCTGACATTTTAGTGCTATTTCCATTATTTGTGGGAAGTAGTAATGGCCCTGCCTCATGAGGAAGAGGCTGTTAATGGTCATCTGTCTTTGTGTGTCATAGCTAATTATCTCTGCCAATAGGGTTATATGTTCTCTTTATTAGTTTCCTAAAAAGGCTTCCTCACAACAACCTGATGTTAATTTAGTAAATTAACGTCCAATTTTTATTAAAATAGACAAGCCTATGCTTTAGGGCGTGCCTACATTGTGATTGACAAGCAACCGCCACAGGGACCAATCAAGATAGACACAGTAGCAATAAGTATCCCCCCCAGCTCCACACTCTTGTCTAAATCTGCTCAATTCTCTCAAAAAACTAAATAACCAAAATTCTAACCACAAGACTCTAAAACGATTGTCCTCATCCAATTGGCTTTGTCTCGTTTGCTACGCCCACTTCTTTAATAACGGTGGTTAAAAGCATCCCTTCTTCCACTTTGGCATTCGCTCACTGTCACAAACTCTGTCATTCTCCAACCATCTTTCTTTCAACAGCCCACTTTTTCAGATTGGTATGCCATTATAGTTCTGTGAATGTTTTGCAATTAGCAGTTGCTTTCATCTGTTTTTCTTCCTCTGTTTGACAGGCTGTAACAGGCGAGCCCGAGAGCCCACTGCCTCTGCTTCTGACCACATCTAAACCGGTAAGAGATGACGCCATGTTCCACCCTGCTTTGCTTGTAGTCCCACGCTTGGGATGGCCCAGTTCTGTCTGTTCAAATTGAACTGCAATCACTGCTAAGTGACTGTTTGTTTGCAATAGATGTATTAAAAAATGAAATTGAATGAGCCAAGTCACAGAGGCTTGGTACTTTATAGTTGGTATTTCCCAGTTTTCTCCAGGGTGTTGTAGACAATACACGTTCCAGGAAACACGCTCCTGTGACTACATTTCAGATTGTTCAGGGCTGACTTGCTGCTCTGGTATGGGTATGCTTCCTGTTACAGCTACCTCCAAACCCTTGGGTGGGTGACTGCAGGAAATAGACACACACACACACACACACACAAACACACACACACGCGCACACACGCACACACAAGCCCCATGCCTTAAATCTTAGGGATGTAACCTTCCTGACCTCCAGCGTTTGCCTGTGCCAGTAATTGGTTTGAGGCATACATTATTTTATTACCATAAGGGATGCACACATATGGGAAGGACAGAATTTATTTACATTCACTCAAGTGTCGACAATTATTTGCCTCCTTATTTCAAGTATTCGGCAGCTTAAAGAGCCAGTTTATTGTCATATGTTTGTTAAAGTTATGTCAAAAAAATTTGTTTTCAAACACACCTATTATTTAAATGAAAATGTATTGTTCCTACGAACCTCACATCATTATGCTGTTTACAATGTAACACAGAAATGGCTGATCTAATGTTTATCTTGCAAATAAATCATTGCATATAGTTTACTTTCTGCTATCTCTAAATGATAAAACTTTTAAGGAATAATGAATGGACTACTGTTGGACTTCTCGTATCTGACTATTTGGTTATGCAGTCAAGTGCAGTCATGACATATTTAGCTGACCGGCAATTGGTGTTTGTGCAATGCAGTTCAGCTTTAGCTATATCGGGGTTGCAGAGACACAAGCTTGAGTATTTTTGAAAGCACACATCAGCAATATAGACTGAAAGCTGCAGGGGAGAAAATGTTTGGATTTAGCCCAGCAGCAGTCATTTTCTGTGTTGTCCTCACATTGATCTGGCCTCGAACTTAAGCTAAAACAGCGGCTGGTTAAAGAAACTGTTAAAGATCAACAGCGGCCACTGACTGGCTCGTGTCTTAACTTCCGGAGCTGGGAGATATGTATCTTACAATTATTTGACCCCTTAAATAGTATCAACGAGGCCATTTATAATGTGTGTACTAAAGGAAAATACTATTTACACTGTAATAACCAGTTTGGCTCTGAACATTGTGCATCAATATTATAAACACCATTAAATCAATAGAATAAACCTTAAAATCGTTCATCTAAACACACAGGATAATGTTCAGAATATGTTCAACTTTTAATTAGCCGGGAGGAAGTACTTTCCCACACTAAAGCTGTTATCTATGCTCTTTTCAAAGCCACCAGACTCCTTTTGACAAAAAGAGTCATTTAGCCTCCTATCACACATAAGTTTCTGGTCTACTGCCGCCTCGATTGGTTTGTTTGTTTAAGAGTTTGTGTGACTTTAGTGAATCCTAACTAACACTTTCAAATCCTAAAATAGCACAAAAACACAAATAGAAAATACCAGTGGAGTAACAGTACATCAGCGATCCCAGTGTTCTTTGAGGTAAAATAACCCTTTCTTTCAATGGACTCTGGTGGCTTTGAAGAGAGCATAGATGGCTTTAACTGCTTCAGTTGCCCCTTTGAATAGGCCTTTTCCCATGTAAAATAGTAACGATGATCTATATAGTCTAAACTTGAAATAATATGGATTTATTTTTGGTGGGCCTTGGTAGTCGACTGCTTAGCTTCTGTGCTCCTAATCCTGTCTGTTTCTCTAAAGCGTGGCGTGCCATCCACTGTAGCGGTTAAGTACATCATAGAAACCCACTTAAAATATCCAATATATCCCTTTTAAGTGCAAGCCTGGTGTATAGCATAGCATTATAATGAACAGGTGACCCTATTTTTCTGGTAACCCGGAGCATATTCACCACTAAATTATGAAATCTAAAGAAGGGGAATTCCATTTGCTGCTATCCTCTGTCATGCTGTGGTCCTGAGGCTGAGTGAGGTGTGCTAACATGAATAAGGCAGCACTCTGGATCATGACTATCCTTGTAGAACAGGCACGACTAGCCTAGCCTGCTGCTTTTCATTCTGGGTCACGCTGTTCAGGATGAAGTACCCCGTCAGCACTTAAGCAGCAGTGAAACCTCCAAGGGTCTTTTGCTCTAAAAACTGTCTTGAATTCTCTGAGCTCATGTCAAACACTTTCATCATAGTCAGCCTCAGCGGCCCTGGCTTTATTCTGTCAGTGATATTAGTGGACTGTGCAGTGTAGCAGCGACCTCTGGCAGGCACTGAGGGTTCTGCAGACAGAAGCCTCACATCTGCTAATGTCCAGATTTATTTTAAAACTAAATATTTACAGCTGTGTTAAGAGTTTTAAGCTGTGTGTAAAGAAAAAAAGGCATAAAGATGGCTCTCATCAACCGTACACAATTGGAGAGAGTAAGAGCTTCAGCTGCAAATGTAGACAGTTTCTCTTTTTCAATTGAAATTCAGTAACATCTGGACCCTCAGTTACCTCTGAGTAATAAAGGAGGTCGTCCATGGAGACAGGCTGGTCTGTACAGACCTTTTTCTGGAGGGAAAAAGGAAATTAATAGCACACGTTGTCTCTATGAGTCCTTGTGTGGCAGGGTTGATGCTCAGCTTCAGGAAAAGTTTTTTTATTGCCTTTGAAATTCTGCTCACCATTTCATCCTGTAGAGGGGTCAAATAAGGACACGAGTTAATAGTCTTTACATTCAGGCTGAATTCCTTCACCCTGCCTCTTAAATTGGCTAACCTTCTCTATTGATCGAATAAGAGCAATCCTTTTTAACTCATTCTGCCAAGCAATGCTTTTTAAAAACGATTTATGGGTGCTGGAATCTGAATTATACATCTTGAATGTATATGTGTTAGTCAAGGTGTTTATACTGCCAGTTAGCTAGTGCATTTCTTTATGTGAAAGTGTTTGTGTGCTTCTCCTCTGCCTGCAGTATGTTGTTCAAGCATTGAGAACTGCTAATATTGGCTAGATTAGGATCAATAATAGGATAGATCTCTTGAAATTTAAGCTACAACTAGTAGTGGACTTATTGATTGGAATCACCTACTGTTTTCATCAACCATTCCTAAAAGTATGACTTGTAATGTTTTTTAAATGTCTAAAAAAACATTTTCCACTCTGTAAAGATCAGTTGTATTGTGTTGCCTTGAATAACAATGTTTCCCTTTTTACATAATGTCAATGTCCAAAGTTCCAAAGCACTTTTTTGCAAGCACTTTTAAAATCTTGGTTGGTTTTTACTACATAATTTAGCTAGATTAAGCATTTATGGGGCCTCATTTATAAAGGGATATAGGCCTACGCTCAAAAAATGGCGTACGGCAGTTTCTACACAATGTTTGCGATTTATAAAATACTAACTTGACGGGAAAACGTGCAGTCCTCCACGCAAACTATAACCCATGCGTACGCACTAAGCACAAAAACGGGAGAGACGAGAAACTGCGACACCGTAGCCAGAAGGAAGAATGGAGAGAAATATGTGGAGATGCACAGGCTGCAGTGGAGACGCTGCGAACAGCTGATCGACAGCTGGGACACAAACCACCAAATACAAAACAAAATTCAGATCAAGTCGTCATGACTCCACTCCGGAGGGATTCCCCGATCATTTCTTACAGTTTCTCATCAAGGGGGGGGGTCTCCTGTCCCCGGTACAAACACACTGCCTGAGGAAGCCTGCCGTTCCAATCGCGACGGATGCGGCTAGTACACATGTCTCCGAGTCACTCCTTCAGAAGCAGCAAGAACCTTCCTGGCAATCGGAAAAGAAGGTGAACCGCTAGCAGTAGCAGGTGGCCATAGAAGCCCGCCTTGGCATTTTCCGCCACAGATTTGGGGAAATTTGGTCTGCGCAAGCGTGGGATTTGAAGGACGCAAAGTCTACCCATGTGCAGCTCGAAATACCCCAAAACCAGGCGCGGCCTAAAATTCCGAATCCAATACTGGAGATTGGAACAGTCCTTTGGCGGCACTCGATGACGTAGTATCCTTGAAATATTGGCTTGGAAGCCAGTTTCCTCGCGATTGAGAAACGGCCTATGTGTATTTTTTTTGTCATGAACCTTTTTCGGACCACTTATTTATTTATTTTGGTGACGATCCAACCTACATGCTGCTACTCTGGTTCAAACTGCATCCACCAAACAATATGATTTATCTTGACCTCCCCAAAATAACCAAAATCTGACACGGTGTGAGATGTCTTTTTTAGCTGTTCTGTCGTCATTTCCTGCGATCTTCTTCATGCAGTCAGTCAAAATGAATGAATGAATGGGGGTTTCTTTGACTATTTATAGGCAAATATGGGCATTACGTGAAGCCCGCAAAAGCTGCACCTCATTTCGAGTCGATTGTGATTTATAAAGGGAAACCGGCGTAGGAAGTGCTGTACGCACTTTCCTCACCGGTACGCAATGTTTGGTGAATCGGAAAATGTCGGAAAATGTCTGTACCTATTTTTTGGATTTCTACTACGTAAGCAACCTTCACACGTGAATCCTACGCACGGCATTATAAATGAGGCCACAGATCCAACTGGTAACGCTCCACCTCCCGCACAAGCTCCGGCTCCTTCCCCCCCAGATGCGGCTTTTACACCAGCGCTTTTCCCTTTCTAGCTCCGAGCTAGAGCTTTTCTGGTTCAGCTCCGGTTTCCCTTTTCTGCTCCCGCTTTGTTCACACCACTCAGAGTCGGGATGGTGCTGCCGCTGCTGCGTCATAACGTCACCGTTTACATCGCTGATTTGCTCCCCAACGGCGCTCACAACAACAACAACGGGGGACTGCGTCGGGTCGATGATCGTGTTGCTTTTAAAGCAAAGCCAGATTAAATTAAATAACGACTTCTCC